AGCCACTGAAATCCTGCAAAAACTTTCATTACAAGACATCTCTGAAATATATAAATATAATGCGCAGGCTGGTCTGGATCCATGCTGGTCGCAAACCCGTTATGTTGATTTTGTCGTGACGCGGCTCATTTGATTTTGATTTTTTTTTTTAATTTATTTGATTTTTAAAGCTCCTTCAGCTGGTTTTGATTTCTTATTTTAAAATAAACTTGTTTGTAAATGTTGTTTATGTACAATTTATTGAATAAATAAAGTTTAAACTTCACACTTACATAGACAAAACAGCTTGAACGTTTTAAACTTCATTTCTGATGCAATAAACAACACATAAAATATTTTGAACAGTAATTAAAATTTTCTAAAAACATCTTAATAATTATTTACAAATTATACTTAATTACAACAGACTTTTGCAAATGTTTCAATGTATAAACCTATAAAAAAAGACATACAAAAATTTTTTTTTAAAAATTTGTTCACAAAACATGCACTTTTTTTTGCCATTAACTGATGTAAAACAAGGTTGAGATAAAATCAGTATAGTTTTAAAACAGTGCCAGCGTAAAAAAAAACTTGATATATTTCTACTACTGTTGAGATCAAACAAGAAAACAGCCATTCTAGATTACACAAGTACATATTACTCACCATCCGTAACAAAAAAATTTATATATATATATCACCAACCTTAAAAGTTTCATAATAAAGAAAATCTGGAAACACAGAAAACACAAATAATTGCCCATGCCACCTAATGTATAGATTCCATAAAAAAATACCCCTCAGAGAGGCTTCAGATTTAAAGTTTTACCAAGTAACATTAAAAATACAGATATTGTCACATAAAAAAGGTTAATTGGTTTTGCAGAATAATGCCATTAAAACAGCATGATGTCACAAACTAGTAAACGACAATCAGAAACTTGGCATGTTTGGTTATTTAAATTTGGTTATCAGCTTGTTTTTGTTTCTTACAGCATAGTACAATTATTAAATTTTTCAATTCTTCTTATCATCTGGTAATATGGTTTTGTTTGACCTTGCCATTTTGACCTTAACCCTGCTGGAACCAAAATAGATTACCAGTATAAAGCCGGACCGGCCAGTCTGAACAGGTTCTACCCTTTCGGCTTAATAACTTTTAACTTTTCGTCATGATAACCCTAAATTGACAATGGACAGTTCCAAAAATGGAAGCTGGACAAGTCCAAGAAATTCAGTAGGGTTAGGGTACTGTTTAAAAAATAGGTCAGTATATATATATACATGTATACAGTAGCACCAGTTTAAACACATAAAATGTATCTACACAAACACCTCCGTTCTAAAATCATCATTTATCCTAAATGGCAAATATATATATTAAGTATAAAAGCTTATATAAAAACACAGCAAAAACAACGATAAAATAACAGCACTGAATGCCATTCAAAACATGTTGTAACAGGTGGGATGTTGATACAAGTTTGTGTGGTGGGGTGTAGTGTAGGCATGACTGAGTCAAGCAGGGTGTTGACTTATCAGTGAAGTTTGGTGCAAGACTAATAGCAATTTTTGCAGTGACATTTTATAAAACAAGATAAAAAAATAAACAGCAATTTCAGGTAAATTGTTCTAAAATAAACAGGTAGTTGGTGTATTTGAGGAAAATATAAAACATGGAGGATATCCCTTAAGAAAACAAACAACAGAAAACTTATGTGGATACAAAAAAATATTATTACTTCGTGTTTTCTGATTTCTTTGCCATGTGTCAATAAAACAGTTAAGGACTACAATTTTCCAAGGCCAAAAAAAATCACATAAAATACAAATCTTATTCTAACACATTAATTATTAATTAATGTCCGAAAAGTAGTAAAGCTTTTTTCTTCTTAGTTTCCTTACAATAAACAATATATTATGTTTTTATTTTTTGAAAAAAAGAAGAAATTACAAAAAGGTAAAAAAATAGTTACTGATAAGAAAAGATATAAATCTATGGAAAGCCTTGACTGTCTTATGATTATAAAAATGAATGTTGTTGTGTCACTCTTTCTTTATACAATGTGCACTTATGGAAAGCCTTGACTGTCTTATCATTATAAACCTAAACGTTGTTATGTCCATATAGCAATATATTGAGTCAACCTTTCCTTATACAATGTGCACCCATTAATATATCATGTGGATCCATCTTTATATGTAGTCAACTGAACAATATATGATGTCAACGTGTCTTTATATGATGTCAATCTATCATTAAACATTGTGCATTTTTGAATATATTATGTGGAGCCATCCTTATATAGAGTCAAAATAACAATATATGATGTTAATCTGTCCTTATATGATGTCAGTCTGTCATTATATGATGTGAAGTTATGAATATATTATGTGGAATAATTCTTATATAGAGTCAACATTATATGATGTCAACGCGTCCTTATATGACGTCATTCTATCATTATACGATGTGCATTTTTCAGTATATTATGTGAAACCATCCTTATATAGAGTGAACTTAACAATATATGATGTCAACACGTCCTTATATAATGTCAATCTTTCATTATACGATGTGCATTAAAGAATATATCATGTGAAACCATCTTTATATAGAGTCAACTTAACAATATATGATGTGAATGTGTCTTTATATGATGTCAGTCTTTCTTTATATGATGTGCTTTTACGAATATATTATGTGGAACCATTCTTATATAGAGTCAAAACAACATTATATTATGTAGAACCGTCTTTATATAGAGTCAACTTAACATTATATGATGTGAATGTGTCTTTATATGATGTCAGTCTTTCATTATATGATGTGCTTTTACGAATATATTATGTGGAACCATTCTTATATAGAGTCAAAACAACATTATATTATGTAGAACCGTCTTTATATAGAGTCAACTTAACATTATATGATGTCCACACGTCCTGATATGATGTCAGTCTTTCATTATATGATGTGCTATTACGAATATATTATGTGGAACCATTCTTATATAGAGTCAACTTAACATTATATGATGTCCACACGTCCTTATATGATGCCAATCTTTCATTATACGATGTGCATTAATGAATATATTATGTGAAACCTTCTTTATATAGAGTCAACTTAACATTATATGATGTCCACACGTCCTTATATGATGCCAATCTTTCATTATACGATGTGCATTAATGAATATATTATGTGAAACCGTCTTTATATAGAGTCAACTTAACATTATATGATGTCCACACGTCCTTATATGATGCCAATCTTTCATTATACGATGTGCATTAATGAATATATTATGTGAAACCTTCTTTATATAGAGTCAACTTAACATTATATGATGTCCACACGCCCTTATATGATGTAAGTCTTTCATTATATGATGTGCAATTACGAGTATATTATGTGCAACCATTCTTATGTAGAATCAAAACAACACTATAGTACATGTATGTAGAATTGTCTTTACATAGAGTCAGCTTAACACTTTATGATATAATTTACTTGTTGACACGAACGGTGCATAGTGAAATATAACCCGGTAAATTAACCCCATCAGTATAATGACAGAAGCACACCATATAAAGATGTTTGCACTTCATATAAAGTAGCGGTCGTATAATAATAGATGCACATCGTATAATGATAGATTGACATAATATATTGATAAGTTGACTGTATATAATGATGCAACCACATAATATATTCATAAATGCACATCGTATAATAATAGATGCACATCGTATAATGAAAGATTGACATAATATATTGATGAGTTGACTGTATATAATGATTCTACCACATCATATATTCATAAATGCACATCGTATAATGATTGGTCGACATCATATAAAGACACATTGACATCATATATTGTTCAGTTGAATTCATATAAGGATGCATCTACATAATATATTCATGAGTGCACATTGTATAAAGAAAGAGTGACACAACAACGTTCATTTTTATAATCATAAGACAGTCAAGGCTTTCCATATAAATCCATATTTTTAATACTGTCTATGTGTGTACACTGACACATTCAATATCTGTATCAACTAACCCCTTAACCTCTTGGAACCTGAAGTGATTTGGACTGAGCCACATTTGGCTCCCACATCATTCTGTAGTCTGACCAGGCTCTATAATGGCGAAAGCCAACACATTTGAGCCGCGTCATGACAAAACCAACATAATGGGTTTGCGACCAGCATGGATCCAGACCAGCCTGCGCATCCGCGCAGTCTGATCAGGATCCATGCTGTTCGCAAACAGTTTCTCTACTTTTTATAGAGTTGTAAGCGAACAGCATGGATCATGATCAGACTGCACGGATGCGCAGGCTGGTCTGGATCCATGCTGGTCGCAAACCCATTATGTTGGTTTTGTCATGACGCACCTCATTTTGTTTTGATCACGGAATCCACATTAAATTTTTTTATTTAAATGGACTGTTCCAAATTCAAAGCTGGTCAAATCCATAATACAAATTCAGCAGGTTATAGGTTAAAAATTTCATAACATGAAAACACAGTCTTAAAAAGAACTGCCAGTCAACTGATGCAAAAGTCTTAAGTATATTAAATCTGAGAATGTGCAAAAAGAGAAGTAAATGGATATTTAAATAACATCGAAAATTCGAGTGCAAAAAGATCAATAATTCTGACAAAACTGCAAACTAGAGTTAATGCCCTTGATTCACTTAGTGTTAAAGTAATCAGAAATATACAAATATGGTATGTCAAAAAAACATGGGCCTAAACAACAAATCAAGTAAACTCCCAAAACACATCTTTTGGCCTGTTGTGTTGAGAAAGCATGAAATGAGCCGCATCACGACAAAACCAACATAGTAAGTTTGCGACCAGCATGGATCCAGACCAGCCTGCGCATCCGCGCAGTCTGATCAGGATCCATGCTGTTCGCTATCAGTTTCTCTACTTGTAATAGGGTTGGTAAGCGAACAGCATGGATCCTGATCAGACTGCACGGATGCGCAGCCTGGTCTTGATCCATGCTGGTCGCAAACCCATTATGTTGGTTTTGTCATGACACGGCTCAAATTTAATCCTCATTACACTAGGACATTACTAGAACAGGTATACAAAAATCTTTGAAACAAAGCGCCATTTAACTTTCCAAAAATTAAATTTATCTTTATCTGAAGATGGCAACAATATTTTATTGTAGAATTATAAGACTGGAAAAGAATTATTTCTTAAACCTACATAGTCTGTTACTAACAGAAATCTTTGGGTGAGCTAGTACTGACAAGATTTAACCTAAATTTGTTACAAAAGTATCCAAAGTTTTAGTAGTTAAATATTAAAATCATTCTTTTCAAGACAGCACAAAATAAAAAGAACAATATCTAATTATAAGAGAAACATAAATTTGTGCAAAATTCTCTCAAAAGTTAATACTTCACTGTGTCAAAATGACAAAATATAATGTTTAATGGTGGAGGGGTTTGCAGTTTATACAATGGTTTATTATAATGCATGTAAATGCCATTATTGTGAGATATATAACAAGACAATGAGGTTAAAACTTCATCCTAAATATTGCTCAACAAATCAAAACAACATTTTTTTCCAGTTTATAAATTTCTTATAAATCTAACTCATCCGCATTTTACTATTAATTACTCGACTATTCTTTAAGCACTCAAATAATTTGAATCAACATCAGTATTATATGTTTTAAATCAACTAACTGATTTTGTTGGTAGTCATGCAAGTCTGTTCTAAAGTGGGAGTTCTATTTTTTTCTTTTTTCTGATATAGAAATCTGAACACAGGTCTCTATTCTTCTGTGTGGCTGTTAATGACCATACTGTAGACCAACCACCTAGTCAATCAGGATGGCATGAATGTAGCTTTGAGTAACTTCACCACTGTTACTATGATGTAATGAACCATGAGTGTATACAACACGAGGTGTTCCAGTGATTTTCAGCAACTTTTTTCTCTCGTGTTTACCTTACCATTACTCCACACTACTTGGCATGACCTTGCTCTTGGACACATTTATTTAAGACTTCAGACATATCAAACATTTTGCTACAGACACATAAGAATTTTCAATTCTCTGAAAAAATCATTTCGTTTTTAAACACATAATGTTTCAGATAATTTCAATGTCTTGCTGGTGTTTCATTATCATTATCATCTGACATTAAACAATTTCTGTAACAAATCTCAATACTGTCAAGGTTGTATTGACTGAAGTTTTGCAATCTTTTCTGTAGCTTCTAAAATCTCCTCTAATTTTGACAAAGTTTTCTTCACACGTAACGACGTCAGTCTTGCTGCGGGGTTCGCACTCCAGCATTCAGCCATCACCTTAATCATTACCTTCATAAACTGAAAAATGAAAATATACATGTATAAAAAATACATACATTTTTAATTGGGTTCCGATTAAAGGTCAAATGGCAATTTGCCAATTTCCAACCTTTATTTGGAAAGAAAGACCTTTTGTTATTTTTGATGCAAGGGGACATCTTACTACAACCACCAACCTACCGTGAACCTGCTGGACAGTTTGCTTACAAGGAAGAATACCTTGAAAATCGCTTGTGGGATTCAAACCCATAATGGTGAGGGGCTACTGATTTGTAGTCAGTGATCTTAACCATTCTGCTCTTGCTTGACTTATCTCTCGTATCATTTTTGCAACCAAAATCCACACTTTTAAAAGACTTAGTCTAAAACATCTTATTTGAATTAGCGGGCAGTATCTCTCTGCCAATGGCCCAATGTGGTGACCTTGTTAAGCCTATGTGGTGACCCTGATAAGAGTCAATCTTATTATAGACCTTATTTCTTTTTTCCATTATATAGTCTCTCAAAGAAGATTAAACTGAATTTCTAATAACATCAAACAAAACAAATAATACTGTTCACGATATTAAATGGTAATGACTTTTAATGTTCTTTTTTTTTTCTAAATAAATGTTTAAAGGCTTGGTGATATAAAATTTAGAAAATAATTAAAATGTGTATTTTATCCCCTAAAGTAACATTTTTAAAAATACTGTTGAATAACATCAGGATGAAATTAATAATTATGTAAAAATGTAACTTGTCCCTTAGGAAGTATTTATATCCAGAGCCTAATTTCATTAATATTTGAAACACTTTCCACAGAGACTCAAATCTGTCTGATACATTTTCCCAGACAATGTAACTGAATTATTTCTATAGCTTCATGGTGTTTATTATTTCAAGTTTTTGGCATTATTATGGACTCATAAAGTTGTTACATAAAAGCAATGTACTACAGTAAGTGTGTTATTTCAAACCTTTGTTAGTTTGTTATTTTACAATTGACTATGATTTTGCCCGCTTAGCTCAAAAGGGAGATCATCAAATTTGTAAATCACAGGTAACTGGTTTGATTCTCAAGTAACAAAAATTTCTTCATGACAAATGTGTCATACTGTCATTTACTGATGTTGTATATAGTCGGTCACTTGTTGATAAATTTGAAGTAACTGGTAAGTAACTTAGTAAAGCCAGTAGGGTGGATCAACAGCCGAGATATGACAAAAAGATCTTATATAAAAGTGCAGCACTTTAACATATATGCACAACAGTGACTAATATAATCTATAGCTCACTTAAAATGATACACTTATTTATTTATAACAATGTAAAATGTCTTTAACTAAATTAACTATTATTTATACATACATCATCTTTTTGCCATCTATTTGGTATTGCAGGTCGCACTTTGCCTCTACACACAACAGCTTTCATATCATCAAAGCTTGGGTCTGATGGTACCAAATCTTGATATGGTATTGTCTGCTCATCTACAGCACCTACACACAGGACAGAAAAAAAATCATCATAATTCAATGTAAAAAATTACAGGAATGATTATGTTTGAATGTATAGAAAACAAAATACATGTAGTAATTGATATGTAACAGAAGGGAATACATGCTTAAACATTATAAAGTCATATATAGTATGAAAATATGAGACTTTTACTGAGCAAAGTCATCTTAAAAAATTTTGTCTGAAGAGTCATATCAGCAAATTATTATTAAAACTGGCTAGAATGGCAGAGAATCTCTCATTTTAACAAACATCTCTTCACAATGAAAATAAATCCATTAACTGACAGTTTGATTGTTTCTAAATTTTAAGCATACAACTTGATTATCTTACAAACATTTCTATTTTGACGCACAAAAATACTAAAAATAGTCACTCAGCATTGGAATTTACCCATTACATCTGCCTTACAAACTAAAAATAACTTTTGACGCTTTAGTTTTGGCCAAAAAGCTTAATAATTGCTTAGCCCATGCATTGGTTATTGATTACATTTATAGTAATCCAAGTGGGATACTTGGTCATATGCAAACACATTTCTTCAAAAAAAGCATCATTCATTAAAGTAAGAATGCATTTTTTTTACAAAGAAATCATTCAGGTTTTTTATGCAAACTAATGGGACAAGGCCCCATCTCACAAATATTTCAAATCTGTGACAGAATGATGGAAATAACACCTGAAAAAGTATCACTTTGTGTAGAAGTCAAACCCACAACCAATGGCTTAAAAATACAATTCTCAAGCCATAGAAGTTTTCCCCTTGCCATTTGTTGTCAGAGGTTATCATGGCAAGTATGCAAATACAAATTCAAGGGAAACAACTCTAGCTTACAATCAAAACCAGAATGATAAGTGTTATCCTTACCCCCTATTTCTGTTCTTTTTGCAATCTCCCACAGACACAAACCCAATGAATACATATCACCCTGTTTGTATGCATCGAAGGAGAATCTATTTATAGATTCATCTAACACCTCTGGTGGCATGTAGCGTTTTGTTCCCTGTCGTGTATTTGGCGCTACATCAACTTCGCTGGTTTCACTGAAAACATTTCATACAAAATATAAAAATACATATCCAATTATTTCTTTGTTCATCATAGGGCAAGACTATCAATATTTTTCCACCAGAGGCCCATCTTTTGTCTTTTCACTAAGTAAGATACAATTTGGCAAACTCACAATGGGGAATAAATCAATGACAACCCAACCCAGAGTTATGGATCATCAACACTTGAAATAGACAGTCACCTATTATCACAAATACATGTGTGAAGTTTCAAGAGTATACCTGCAATGGTTAATAAAGTTGCACTGAAATCTAACCTTGTGACATGTGTCCTCCAAAATGGATATATTTCAAGACCAATCATTATCACAGTTCGGCTATAAATAATCATTACCCGACATATTTCACTGCCAATCATTGTCAAAGTTTGGTTATAACTAATTTATTCCTGATATATTTTACTGCCAATCATTATCAAAGTTTAGCTATAAATAATTATTTACCTGACATATTTCACTGCCAATCCTAGATCAGCTATACAACAACTTCCATCTTTTTTCACAAGAATGTTCTTTGTTTTCATATCTCTATGAGCAATTGCTGGTTTCCCTGGAAATACAGATGAGACAAAATTACATACAGTTCTAATAACAGTTATTAGAGGTATTGCACACATAACTGTTTTTGTTTACCTTTTAATTTACCGAGTAAGAAATTGGGAAATTTGCTCTTTTTATTGGTAACAGTGCCGTTTTCCAGTATTAGTTATCTAAGTAAAAAATACTGTATATTAATATTAAACACAAGATTAAAATATTTCAAAATTTCATTCTAGCTTTTGATAAATGAAAACAAAATAAAACTCAACAAAGAAAACAAAAGTAAAGGTCATTTATTTAAAAACTTTTCATTTTTGTCACCATTTTAAAAAATTTCATCCCTTTTTTGCCCCAAACTTTCTGTATTAAAGGGTTTTGTAAGCGCGATTGGAATGGCTTTTTTGCTATCATATGAGCGTTTTTTCATGGGGGAAATGTAAAAGGACCCTTATCGTGATAGCCCGAAATTGGGAAACAAGGGGCCCATGAGCCCGTTCCTTTTTTAGCAGCAAAAAAAACCGGGAAAAAAAAATTGATATTCAGTTTAATAAAATAGCTTTAAAGAAAATATTTTTATTGTTTAATTCAACTAGAAATATTAATTATATCATTTTTAGTGTCTTTAAAATGATAACAGTGTTATATTTTGGAAAACTAAATATATGCAAAAAAAAGCCCTTACTTTGTTTGAAACAGTTACAATTTGGGAATAAAGTAGTAACTCGTAAAATATCAAATGTCAATAAATTGTGAATATGTATTCTTTTCTAAAACCTTTAATATAATCCTTGTAAAGTTTGATTTTTGGAAACCCCACTCACAAAACTTTTAAGAGGAGTGCAGCTTGAAACAAAATAGCATATCATTAAAAATAACTAATTTCAGGATTAACTGTTTTTATGATGCACCAACACAATTTAGGTCATATGGCACCGAAACAGGAAAGATAATTTTGGCTAACCTCAGGTGTTACAAACTTTAAGCAACACCAGGGATCAAAACAAAAGGGTTTATGATTTAAAAGATAAAATTTTTACATAAATTCTGTTTCTAAAAACGCTTTCTAAAATTTTTCGTACGTAAAACACTGTTTGATATATTTTTTCTTTCAGCCCCGGGGGTCCTTGTTTTAAAAATTTTTCACGGCACATTTTCTCCTCTCCAGTTAGCCTTATAAACCTCACCATATCTTCCTTTACCAATGGTTTTTGTAAGCTGTATCTGCTTAGCTATTGTCCTTTGTACCTAAAATAATTCAACGTTGTCATGAAAATTTTTGGTCTATTGTCTTAAACAGATGCAATGTAGTAGCAATATAAATCCTTAATTTTCATAATTGTAACCAAGTACAAAGGACAAAGGACAAAGATTTACCAAGGATTTCAGTGAGTATCTTGTAAAAAAATATAGCAGACAGTTTTAGTTGCATCTGTGATGGTATATGGATATTCGATTCTTTCAACAAGAAAATTAAATGCTTTTTTTATAATTATAATTATTATTTATAGTAAACATAATACCTAACTTGTCTTAAGCCTGTTCTAGAACACTTTCCCGAAACCATTTAACTGTTTGATAAATGTTTACACTACATAACAACCTATATGAAATCTTAAACACATGTTTATCTCCATGACTAGAGTACAACAGAAGTAAGTAAAGCATATTACCAAAAGAGGCAATCCAGAGCCACTTCCGGAAGAGTGATCTATCATTTCAGATAATGTCTCGTCTTGTGGTAAAATCACTTCCTTCTCTATGTCATTTATCATCTCTTGCTGTTCTATTTCACGTTTTCTGTACCTATAAAACAGCAGGGAATGAAGATCAACAAGGCAAAGGCAACGTTCACATGATGTAGACCCCACACCCAGCCACAACAGCGAGGCACGCAGAAGGCACCAAACCAGAATTGGTAAACAACAGAGACAATAAAGAATTCAATTCTAAAAGGATAATAAGATTTTGAATGGTTGCATTTCGAGCATCATGCCATACAGAACAGGTATTGTGATACACATTTCCAGCGTGTTTCATAGGAAAAATCATAACATGAATCAACAAAGTTGTTTTAAATTTTCTTAAATGTATGAGGTAGCACACTGACACTATTGCAGGTTCACAGTATATTTAAGGTGTGGGCAGGCACGTGAGACCATCTGCAGGCCAAACGAATGGTCTTATCGCAAGATGGAATTCAAAGACAAAACTTGGCACAAATCAACAGATATGAGTGGGGATGTGATTTGTAAATAGCTCTTTATCACTAAGTAAATTTTTTCAAGAAATAGTTAGTAAAACAAATTAACAAATCTAATAATGTGCTATTACTCTTAATCTTTTCGTTACTGTAAGAAATGAATCATTTGTTTTAAGGTTAAGTCACCACGAGAATGAAAAGACAATGGTGAGTTTTTTAGCTTTTTGATAGGAAAAAGAATATTTTTTTTGCCTATTTAAGTACTCAGCCGGACCACCCAGGGTAGAATCACTAACTTTCAATAAGCTGGCTGGAAAACTTTTTTCATTTAAGCATCCAAGTCCATGTTAGGATTTAAACTTGCACCAATAAGGAGCCTTTCAATGACGGAAGGAAAACAATATCGAATTTACTACACAGCAGTAAGCAAGTTACCTTACCTCAAGTAAACAAAGGTAGCTGTTACAATGAGGACTATAAGACAAACAGAGACTGACACCAGCAATGCAATCTGTGTGAGGTTCTCATAACGTTTATACTCCTTCGGCTCATAATCTGTAAAAATAAAGTAAGTAATTAACCAATCGTAACCATAAACCATTTTAACTATTTGTTTGTTATTCTTCATTATGGAAAATCAACATTAATATGGCTAACAAGAATTTAGATAAAGATTATGTCAAACATTACACTTGAAATGAGTACATTTCATGTTTTGTGTAGAATTTAGATTTTAACTTTCTGCTACTAACAAAGTGTTTCTAGTAAAAGCTGCTTTCACTATCAATAGGTAGTCAATTATGTTTATGACTTATATTCCTTTATACAAAGTCTTTCTTTCACAACTTCAGCTCTGCCAACTTAACAAAGTTTTTGTTTCAATTTAGACTTTTGCAAAATTATTTCACTTTATATCAATGATGAATCTCCTTGAAAAGTAACTGACTTTACTCTTGACATGCTGAAACAGGAAGTGATAAACCTTTGAAACCAGTATATAGCTAGGCCAGCCTACATAGACCAGGCTCAATACTGTTGGTAGGGCAATGTTTGTTTTTCTAAATAATGAAATCCTAAAACCTGGAATGGACTGGTCCATATTTTAAACAGAGCAAGTCCATTACGCAAATTCAGTGATATAGTAGGACCAATGTTTATTATTGCAAATTCAGCAGGTTATGTAATATGAATATATATTACTTTCTATACAAACAGGAGATATAATGTTTGGTTGTTAATACAGTACCTGGACCAGGAGTTGTTGATACCTCGTTATATATAGGAACAACACCTCTGTTGCATAGATCTTCATCATCACAACATGCTATGGCTGTCGCCACTCTATGTGGTACCAAGTTGGCTTTACACTGCAATGGTATTGTAAGAACATTTTTTTTAATTTCTTTTATACTTAAGATTTCAAATTTCCAAAGAAAATAGGTCTGGTATCTTTTGAATCATCTTTATCTAGTTAACCTCATATCAAAAATATATCTTTTCCTTATCATGTATGCTGTCATACTACATAGTGTCACAAGCAAAGACTGGTTTATAACTATGATAAAGAGAGTAAAAACACTTACAATTTTACAGCCGTTTTAAGCTCTGAGTGATTTTCAATTAGGTTTTATATAATTTTCTATTTTCTATCTGCTATTCTGTTATTCAGTTAATACCCCACTTAATATATCAAGGCAACTTTAAGAAAGCTTCAAGTTGCCCTACAACTATATGGATATACCAAGTAATTTATAAAGTAAGTTATTCATAAACAATAAAACACAAAGTAAATTAATTGTACCTGCATCGTTGTTCCGCCTTCAAAACTTGGTAAACAGCCATATGCGAGCTCATGTATTCTTTCCCCATTCTCAAATATTGCCTGTATTGAGGCAAAACACATACTGTTTGGAGGGGCAAGACATGTTTCATTCACATCAATACCATCATGACATGGACTACAAAAGCACCTTAAACCTTCACCTGTAATTAAGAAATGTACTGATTTATAATGATCCATGGGAATCAAAGTTAATATCCTTAGGGGGTTGGTGACAACATTAATAATTATAAATAAATTCAAAGATAAACTAATAGCATAAAAATACAGTCATATCTAATCATCTATTACAGACAGAATTATCTAAATTTATGCAATTTGTTATTTCTTAAAGCAGCATGCCTCGGGATGAAATAAACAAATAAATTATATATCAAAATAAACTTCTATATACTTTTAGCTTGAAATTTGATAAAAGCAATATATAAGCTATAAAAAAATACATCAACTTAAATTCAAATATGATCCTGGGGCATATAATAATATATATTTTAACATCTCTGCCTTGGGTATCAGAGCCAAGGATATTTTCTGAACACTGTTGTGACATACATGTGACGTAGGCTATAGACTACACGTGTATATTTAAAAAGAAGTCAAAGCACGGGGCTGCGAAGTGGCTGCGGGCTTTGGCTTGCCCGGCTATAGACTACATGTGTATATTCAAAAAGAAAAAAAAAAGAAAAAAAATATAGAATTCTATACCTATCAGCTAGAATTCTATACCTATCAGCTAAATTTTCAGTACCATTTCTTATTGGGCACCGTAATGCAATGATAAACAGCGGTGTATTCGGATTATGGCCAATCGCAACTTTTCAACTTACTAGATAACCTTAAAAGCCGAGAAATTCTGCGTAGACTGGTCCCCTGTGGACTACTATTGGGGACCATAATCGGACAGGGAACCAGCATAAACGGAAGCAGTGTATAGAATACCGAATGGCACTTTTAAAACGGAAAATGTAAAATAAAAATGAACGATTATTTTAACCGACTTCCCCATTCATACTGGTAGACAGACGTTTCACTATTGAGACGGTTCACACCAAGACGGTTCACAGCAAGACGTTTCACTCCCAAATGGGAGTGAAACGTCTTGAAGACATTTCACTCCCTTTTTATACCAAAATTATTTTGATACTTATGATATACTAAAATAGACCTAAAACATTGAATTGAACTAAAATAGACCTTAAATTAAAAAAATAAATAAACAAAAAAGGGGATTTCACTTTTTTGTCAATGACTTAAAACTCAGAACTTTAAGTTCTATCATATCAGTTATCTTACCTTCTTTATTGTTGTTTTGAAATAAGGTGTTTTTCTATTCTTTGATCATAATTATCACATTATTTAACTTAAAGAAAAACTATTTTTGATTAAAATAACACTTTAATATAACTAACTATTTGATCTTTTGTAAACATGGACTCAATAGGCAATTCTAATTTAAAGCATAACCATCCAATGTGACAACAATTAACTTTGAGTAACGCGTTTTTTTGTTGTTAATTTTAAACATGGGATAAAAAATTGTTAAATTATTTCATGCTAGTATAGTGCTTTTGTGATATATGTCAAAAATTTTAATAATTCGTATTAACAATACCATTGAAATCAACAAAATGAAACATTAAATTGAATTTCTTTTTTACACTGTTTGAAAATAATGAAATTGAAATTGTTAACTTTTCAAGTAAACATCTCTAAAAATTGGGAGTGAAACGTCCATACAATTGACAAAATGGGAGTGAAACGACTAGGTGTGAACCGTCTTGGGAGTGAAACGTCTCAATAGTGAAACGTCTTGGGGTGAAACGTTGACATTTTATCATTTTTTCCCCTTTGGCCCTTTTTCCTAAAATTTTATATTACAAAGTAAAAAGAAAATTTTCACATTAGAAAAATCCTGAAATATTCGGTTTTTCGATAATGTAACAATAAATGCAAAAAAAACAAATGGAAAAAAACTCACCTTTTTTTTAAATACATCATTTAAATAAAAATTTCTCTTTAATTTTTTTAAATTTTTAAAAATCAAAAGAAAAAAAACGAATAAAAAATTTTTCAAAAAATAAAAACAACTGGTCAAAAAAGGGTTTCCCAAAAAAGGCGTCCTTTAATTCTCGATAACTTTGAGATAAATTTTCAAAAAAGAGGCGTATTTAAATAAGTGGCCCCCCGTGTTGACCCTTTCATAAAAAACAGTTTCCAACTAGAACACGAAATTTTTTCTCACAAACGGACTGGAGAGCAGTTATTTAAGGTGAACCCAATGGGAACAAGTAGCATTATCACACTGTGCCCAGTGGGGTGAATTCTATTGCACCATGGAATGCTTGTCTACATAATATTGATGAACATTGGCAACACTTTTTCTTCATCAGGTATTTCTGATTCATTTTTTCACTATCAGAGAGGTCTGATTTTTCAGAAAGTTCAATGTTTTGTTTGGATGACCTGGCTTTTGTTTATCATTTATTTGAAGATTGAAGCTGGTGGCTGAATTCTTTTTGTTCTTAGGAGTTTTAGTTTTTTTTTTTTTTAGGATCATTTGAACTAATTTTTACTGTTACTTTCATCAATGTATTTTTTCATTTTTTCTACAGTTTCACCTTCTAATGCTTTTCCACCAACAATACTATTAATGCTTTTTACGTTTTTTCTTTTACGAAAATTTTAT